GAGTTGTTAGTACCAAGATTCCAAGAGAGATTCCAAATATGATACCTGTTAATAAAAAACATACTGTTACCATCAACACAGTAGACCGTGATAGAAATCGCGTAGTACCGTTTAATGGTGAAGAAGTGAGCGCCAGATTGGATAATCCAGATTACACATCTACTGCACTGACTGTGGTGTCTGATGGTAATGGTAGTCATACTCTCACGATTCCGGGACAGAAGGACGGAAAGTACAAACTCAACATCTACGTTGGCGACTCTCACATTGCAGGATCTCCGTTCAACATTCAAGTTGTATCTGGTGTGTTCATTTATTTAAGTAAACACACAAACAGAGATAAATGCTCGTACAGTACACAATAGATACATTGTAAAATAGTGAGAACGGAATTTTTATTGTTTTATATAATAGTTTACTTCATAAGACCAGTTGCTGTATGATAGTATGACTTTGAAAAGTCTACGAATAATTGACTAGTGAATTGTTCTGGACGGGCCTTACATACGGCCAGACTATGCATTGCGTGTTCTCATAGTAATGCACTAAAGTCATGGTGACAACCAATCAGTCATTATACAGAATTCTTTGCCGAATACATGGAACTATTGATCACCATGACTTCACTACATATAGTGAATAATTAAAAGTAATAAATTGTCCTTAAAGCGCGGTTGTCGTCGCGCTGCGCATGTGCGACATTTGTGTTGATAAACATTGATTTTCCCAAGTGTGAGATTCGACCTGGGCGCGACTTGAACTGAATACCGCCGGTGACTCCTTCAATACCTTCCAATCACCTAAAATTTTTCTAATTAGAGCTTGGAAATGTCTCAATTTGCACTCGTTGATCTCCGCAACAGTCAAAGTCGCCATCTTTGTTTATATGAGACCCATATATTTCGCGTATGCGTGGCGCAACGACTACCGCCATTTAAAATAGACCGTTCGCGTCGGAATAAGATTTAAAAGAATAAAGTTGGCTGGGCCAGACTTAACTCTTGATACTGTAGGTACGCATTGGTATAAAATACTCATGGAAGGCATATGCTCGTGCTTTTATTCGATTAGACACAATTAGGGTGATATTGACAAGGGTTCGCACCTGAGAACACGTTCTACCACGCATGCGCATTATCAACTCCCAAAACTGGCAAACTGGTTCTTACCCCTCCCTGTTTAATTTTTGATTAAATGTGTTTCCGACACACCACCGTAATCCGTGGAAATTCCATGTTTATTTCAAAAATAAAATGTGACTGTGTAAAATGTGTTTTATTTACATATGACCCTGTGAAGCAAGAAGCAATCTATTCACAGAATATAAAAAATACTTTATTGTTCAAGCTGGAAGAAATAGTTATCTGTTTATTTGCAAAATAGTTTACTATCAACACAACAGACTCATTTGCTCTAAAAAAAGGCAGTGCACATTGACGTCATTTGAGAACGTTTCAATGATATTCCATCAGTCTATAGAAACTTTCAGTCGTAGTTTAAATCGTGTAATTTATTAACATTTGATTAAAGCATAAAAAAATTGTTTTGTTTTTTGTGTCGATAGTATACAGATATGGCCTTTTTTCCAATTTGATCTCTGGATTAGCTTGAAATGTTGAAACAACACTAATAACATGTTATATAACTAACAGTATTGTTTTGTTATGTTATGTTTTTGTTTATTTCGAAGGTTTACTTGTATGCTAAGTATAATATGAGGTTATTACGAAGATACACTTTTTGGTATCCTTATAATAACCTTATTATTATTATACATCTTTTCCTCCGACGGATACACCATGGGAATGCCGAAATGCAAAAAGTTTAGAACAGATTGAACGAACTTCTTTGTATGGGGTCTAGTCAAACCCGGGGAGCAGCCATGTTTGTTTGTGTTATTAGAGGACGCTTACGCGCGTAATCGTTCCATACATGTCAAACCTCGTTAGTGCGAATATCAAGGCCCCAGGTGAATATACTGTAAAATGACTAATTTTCACTGGGTTTAAATTTCACTGATTTACCATTTCAGGCATATTCAGTGGGTTTTAAATTCACGGTTTCATCATTTAGATAATGTGTTCTGTGCTAAATTTTACATATTCACTGGGTTTTAATTTAGCGCATTTTTCCAGTCAGCGAAATAAGCTAAATTAAAACCCAGTGAATAATTAATCCTTTTACAG